TTATCCGCATGCTTCTATGCGGAACCCGAGAGAACAGGTTGTTAAACCTAACGCCTGACACCCTTCAATATAATAAATGTCTCAGTCAGGTCTTTTATTATCCGCCTCTCTTTGAGGGGGAACAGATTCAGATCCCCGAGCCGCTGCTGGCAGCGTTTTCTTCTTTTCCCAGCTAGCAATCCTTGATTAGGTCTAATATCATATTTGTTATTGTCTTGGCTGAATCGTGTACTTTTTCTGCAAGGTAAACCAATATATCTGCAGATTTCCCAAGGGAACTCGTCGTTTATAGAGCGTGAACGGAAAAGCTAGAAAGGAATGGAGAGCTGTTTCAACCTGTTTCGGTTTCATCAGCATTGCGAATCCATCGACCCAACTGGGNATCGAACCCGGAACTTCAAAGGCAGATCGCAAGCATGCTACCCAATCTACAGATACTGCGTTAGCAGAATAATGTTAGGAAAGGTTCATTTGACAAGGATTAAGACGATCTTTGATGAAACCCTATTGTTAAGAGACTCAATGGAAAACCAAACTCAGTAATCAGGATGGTTGTACACATGCTGATCCACGAACTCGACTTTGTTGTCGGTGCGATACTGAAACTGAGCATGCACTTTCCTGGTAGGTACCTATCAGAGCACAGGCAGCATAATTTAAGTCTGGACGCTCCCAGTTATCATCGCAAGTTTTTCCTTGAACAATAGGCAGTTTATTCTTTGTTCAATTGTTTATCACTGCGTTTTATACTAACCCCCCCTTCCCGCACTGACTTATTCGATTTGTTCACCTGCAACGCACACATAAATCCTCCGAATGATATTGACACAACATGATTCCGGGAATAGTGTCCAGTCACGTGTTGCTCAGTGCCTTCATTGACGTGGCGCTGACCAAACTTAGTCAGCATTGGTTCGGCCTTGCTAAAATCATACTTTGAAGTGCTAAAACTTCATTTTTCCGTTTTTACTCTTTTGAAGAATGTTACAATAAATGGGGAAAAACGCTCGCATCTCAGTCAAAAACTTGACCATCTATCAGGTGAATGTCATCCCTTTGGGAGCATACGGACCAGGTTTTCGGAGTTGTAAACCGCTGTCCGCAGATTCGGCCTACTTTATCTTCACGTAATATCACTGTTGGTGTAATTTCACACACACACACACACACACACACACAAATACATACATACACACCATTAGCATTCCCGTTTCAATCTTACTGGTCAATCATATTCCCGCAGCTATCGAACGTGATTTGATTGATTGGTTGATTTGTGTGTGTGCGTGTGTGCGTGTATTTTATCGATTTTATTGAGGCTTCTACAAAGAGAGATTGATACGATTTGCAATGACATCTATCACTTCACTATATTTCGCAACACAAAACGGTTTCAATCGATTATGTTCGAATATGCTGATGCTGTTGTTCCGGTCTTTGCTGTTCAGGTAGTTGATCACGGTATAAGAGGACAGAGATTGAGGAAGAGAGTAAGAGAGACGTACAACAAAAGACGAGGGTACAAGGAAGAAATCCATGTGGCAAGACAGTGACTGGGGACAGGGATAATACAAGCACAGCGATTCGTCTTGGGCGTCAGAAGTCAGCGGAACGTCTAGGTGAGTTACAAGAGGGATTCTTGGTGGTAGTGGTGCTGATGGTCATGTTGAGTTCAAATCAGTGTGCAATTGTTTGGTTAAATTTGAGGCAAAGCCAAAACAGTCCAAGAACGAAACAAAATTTGAAATGCGAGTTCACATGTGTGTATAATGTAATTTCGGAGAAAAACACAAACGCATGAGCTCACGTGCAGAAACAAAAAACAAAATGACAAACGCTATCGGCCAGTACTAAAGGATCGATCGGAAGTAAGATGTGTGTATATGCTCCCCTTACCTAGGTTATCATGTGAGCGAAAAAGGGGAATGTACAGGCGATACTACATCCGGTGCGATCTTCCTTTACTCTCAGGACTAGCGCTACCGTCGGCGCTCACTGGGCAGGCTGCATCTCGTCTCCACGTGCCACTCTAGCATACCGCGGTTGTGTGCACGGATTCACGCTCGGTTTTCAAACATTTGGGTCGAGAGAAGGTGTGTTGATAGGAGATATTAATGGAAGCCTTATTAGTATCAGTCAGTTGCATCTGGACTAAGATCTGTTCGTATGTGTTTCTCCGAAAATACAAGATGGTTTGGGATGGGGGTTATTTGGGTGTGTTATCTAAAGATGAGGCTGTTTACACACAATTTGACCTACATCTTCAACCATGTGTCATGAGCGTTCAGAATGCTCAACTGACCTCTTATAGTTGAATGTCAGCTTATAGCCAAGATCCCAACAAATATACACGGAAAACTGGACACAAATTAGCCGTGTAAAAGAGGTATTTAGGGGCGCAGATATTTTGCAGTTCATCGAATGTATATTGAGGGGAGGGGGTCAATAGAAGACTTGAAGACATACTTAATTTTGTTGTCGTTGTTCTTGTTTTTTGTATGAAGAAGGAGGGACACTAGGAAACAAGAAAAAGTAGACAACTGAGAGGGAAAATTGAGCTCAGTGCGCCGTAATCCTTCCATAGTTAACCGAACAGAGCCACTTCATCTAGTTTGATTTTAGTATGTGAACAAACGTATTCCAATAGAAAAGTGGCCGACCGTCTACAATCGGAAATATCCGCAATTTCTGCCAGACCGACGCACGTGCATACTTGCACATACAAAAACACCATTCGAAAGTTCAGTTCTATTTTCGGGAGGGAGAGGATGGGGTGAATTCGTTAAGTCAGGAGATCGATGAGTAGCGCAGGGTTGAGGCGTGTGAACACAATTTGAACTTTTTGATCGATCGATTTGAACCAACTGATTGGGAACGATTTCCAAGGGCTGTGGAGAATAGAGAGAGAAGATACACATAGGACAGGAAAGAAAATCGGCTAACATCATCATCGGCGTCTTCTCTTTCATGTGCAACGGTTGGGAGGTGGAGTTTGATGTCCATAGGGTAAACCACTCCGAGTAGAACGTGCCAGCAGTTCTTCGGACGTGAAAAATACACTTTAGACATCGATCACGAATTGTTCGACAGGAAACATAAATGTACGATCAAGCGGTAGCAATGATGCTGAAGGACACTTAGACCTGGCTCGCAGCCACTCTCTCAACAATTTCCCATTTCTGAGAAATCGAATTCTGAATGAGTTGAGGCACGTGCTGCAAACAATTCGGTTAGTGGTTGATGGTTGCAAACTATTCAAGCTTGAGCTGCACACGCTGGGCAGGTTTGCTTTCAGTGTCCGCGCTTGCCCGGCATTCCGGAAGTACCGCCAGGAGTCTTTTTCAGTGCATCACCCAGTACCTTTTTGGCCATTTGAACTGTACCAGCTGCGGCAGATGACGCTGGCGGTGCCGATCGGGCACGGAGATGACTGCCTGTCGATCCACCATGTCCTGGTTGATCGCTCACCCCAGTCAGCAAATTGAAGAAAAAGAAAGCCAAACTGGCGTTGATGAGCAGAACAAATACGAGAACAAAGTTGCTGCGAATCCAATCCTGCAAAGGTGTGCGGAACGGGGGGGGGGGGACGACAGATTATATGGACTGCCACCTTTGGATGCAGATTTTAACCAAAGTTGACCTAATGTTTTGCATGAAACAATCGCGACTGGTAAAACAGAATTCACAATTTTAACCCGCAAGCTGCATGGAACATATTAGAAACATCCGGACTCTAACATAGAATCGAGATTTGAATATCAGAGGTTGGATTCAACGGAGATGAACCATGTTGCAAAAATAATGCTTTTGAACATAGGTGCACATTAAAATGGAAATTATAGATTTTGCTTCAGTCCCATCAGATGCCAAAACAGATACGTTATGGTAGTGGGATTTATATTTTAACGGAAATTTTGTAAATAAAACTTTGATTGATTTAAATGACTATCATTTGGACTTCACCTCCACGCACAATCCTCAGTTCATCGACACAACCATCACTGTAAGATTTAGGATAGACTGATAGATTACGAGTAGTAAAGTCAATTGAGAAACAGAAGACAATACAATATCATAATTAACGTGGAACTTTCCCAAGTGTAAAAAGTTAAATGCTAGAATGGGCAATCGGTTTCCACAATGGGGCCGATCACTAAAGATCGACCTATCATCGAATGGTGTGATCACACAAGCTGCTCTTCTTTCCCCTGTATCCTAATAACTTTCATTCTACCTAAATAGCTCCGTTGATGGGTAGTCGTTATTTTGAGTCTTTCACATTGTTTGATTTTCGAAGGGGAACTTATGTATTAAATTATTTAGAATTCAACATCTATATATATCCATCATACCAAGTGTCTTCAGTGTTCATGCATGGCAGTCTCAAAGTCCATTCACTACCGGAGTAAAGAGAAGAAATGGGATGTGTTCCGCATACAATGACTAGTCGCCTGTACTTATTGAGTCCAAGTGAAATAGAACTGGCGTGAGGTGGTGGTAATCTCACTTTTGCCTATGACAGAAGTAAGTAAAAATGACAGTGTCAAATAGAAAATGTGACTCACTTTGATATCAGCTAATCGGATCACAATTTCTCCGCGCCTTCGTCGTTCCATTTCCTCGGTCAGCTCACGCCTGCGTACCTGAGTGAGTCGATCAATCTCCGCTCGAGTAAGACCTATATGTCTTCCGTGACCGGCTCGATTGCGCGCGGACTCGTGATTGCAAGCGGACGGCAAGTCGGGCATGCTGGACTCCTTGACCGCACCCAGTAAACTGATTTCGGAATCGATTCGATAGGCCCTAGGTAGGGGTTGTAGTTCGGCTTGTTCTGATGCGGGTTCCATTCCGATTGTTTCTGCAGCAGTCACCACCATTGTGCTGTCCATAGCCGGTCGATAGGGATCGTAAGCGCTGCAGTAAATTATTAGCGTAAAGAACCCAGTAGCGTTTTGTGTGTGAATTCTATTTCCTAACTTACTGCTTAATGAAAAAATAGTTAATGCAAGCAACCAACTTCGCTGTTGTGGTCACTGAAATGAAACAGGCGTTAGCAATCAACATAAAATATATTATATTATCTAAACAGCAATTAAAGTCATAATAGTATCAAAGTCATTTATCATCAAACGAATCAAACGACTTCATGCATGATTAATGTTCCAACCGCAGGACTTGCTAGGTCGGAGTAGAATAAATAATTTTATTTGCTGCCAAATACTGCTAAGAATTAGTGTTATGCTGTCTTTGTGAAATAGGTGAATGTATATGGATCTCAGATTTCATATCAGATATTCTTGTATTCATTTTCCACCTAAATGTTTCCATAGAGATTTTTATCTTCATGTGAGCACCTCAATTATAATGAACTAGAACGACTGCATCAATATAATTTCGTTACTTACGTGGTCCATTCTGGACGTCTTCTTCTTTCATCGGTTCGCTCTTGCCCAGAATGAGGGTTACGCAATAGCTTTTGTTGCTGCTGTTGTTGTTGATTGACCGCCTGCACCCGTTTGCGTATACCATTTTCGATTATATATGTGGCAGCAGCATCGGCCGGCAAGTTATCAGCACTGTGTACGGCGTCCTCGTCTATTCGACTGGCAACACCCGATGGTCCTGTTCTTAATCGATCAGCCGCAGTTCTTCTGGTCGGTGGGGACTGTTTTTTCTGCCATTTGGATCGGCTAGCTCCAAGTTGACGCATTGGCGGTTCGGTCATAATGGATGGCAATGTACGACGTCTAGCATGACTGATGCCGGTATCTGGGGGCAGTTCAATCGGCGGCTCGACTGGCTCAACAGGTGTATGGATTTCCGGACGGTATGTTTCATCTGCTAACATGCTCGTTGGACTTTGTGCTCTTGAGGCAGTATTACCGTATGTAGATTCACGGATTTCGACTAAGCCGACAGCGGCCTGATGTGTTTGACTTGGTTGAACAATTTCGGCGTGAGCCAAGCGGATCTCGGCAGCATGATGCTCCCTTGTTCCCATAGATAATTGAGCACTGGCCATGGTAACCCGGCCCCCATGTAGTTCGGCTTGTTGCAGACCCATAGCAGGACCACGTTGCCCTGGACGATTCCGTTGCATTGAACCNACCACCATAACCGAAATCATTTACCGGATCCGTGAATTCGTCTAAATGCTGACTTGTTGAGGACATCAAATAGGGGGAGTGGGGATGTTGAGCCATGTGCTGAGCCATCTGACGCTGGTCTGCGTGAGCGTAATCAATTCCGGTCACTCCGGTCGTGGCAGCTCGAGCTATAGGTCTTCCAGCCGGACTACGTTGTGGATGACCGAAAGGATCATTGCCGAGTGGAAGTGTGCTCTGCGCATATGCGCTATCGTCCACACTTCTTCCGATCATTGGACGGTGTCGCTGCACGTGTAACAGGAAACAGGTTTTTGGTCATTTGAGTACACTGTACTTGCATCTCCCAAACAATGAATACTTAAAACTAAAGAGCCTATATTTGAAAGAAATACATGACTTGGCTATCAAAAGTTTTCATTTCCCTTCCCCAAAGCGGAAAGTAAAATTTCATCTCAAAAAGGGATCATCTATCCTAATGGCTTGGAATCTGTCGAACAAATCAGATTTGAATTCAACGAGTTTAACAGTCAACTGATGAGCTGAAGGTTAGATGTACAACAAATACCATTTAGGGGAGTGAATTCTGTTTTCACAGTTACCCTGGTATTTTCCATAAATCTTATTTTAAAATTCAAATCACTTTGGTAATCACTGGAAAAGTGGACGGAGGAGACAAAAATATTTCAAATGCATTGGTCTACGCAGATTAACCATCCTGTTTCTGACGTTTATGATACCACTATCACTCCTAACTGCACACCGTTTAACAATCTTTGGATAGAGGAAGCAAAACATGTCTTTCACGGTTCCATTGTAAATTAACCCGTCACGCTTCGAATTTTCGAAAGCAAATGGAGATAGACCTGTGACCTTAAATGTAAATTCATTTTCTGAAAACAGACTGGCCACAAAATATCAGAGGTGAACACTTCACGTAATTTTATCCTCGTCAGTATATAATCAGTAAAATATATGGATGTCTGTTGTATTATTTTCGCTTGGTAATTCCTAAACCACTGCAATGTTTAATTTTTGATCTACTGTTTAGTGATCATCCGGGTATCGCAAACATGAAAGCTAAAACAAAAGTGGCAATAGTGACAATCAGAATGAGGCGTGAGAGAGATGCTGCGTTGCCACCAGTACATGTGATAACATTCTACTTCATACTTGATGAATGCTATCAGGACCGTGAAACCGGATTCGCGAGTCCAGTCCATCGTCAGTATTTCATTATTATTGGTGATAGCTAATCAATGTGATGGGGATATTTCCCATGAGAAAAGTTTGCCTTTTTGCGCTATTCAGGATTCCTGAAACCCCGATTATGGACAATCGGATTCGATTCACGTCCAGTGACTTTGTTAATTTCCTTTAATTCATGGGAATGCAGCACGTGCCAAGTTCCGTTAATCAAACAAGCAAACGGTGAAACGAAAAGGAGGGTGAAGAAAGCTTGAAGAAAGCTTGCAAAGAACGATAGCTGTCGGTTAATGCATCGGAGATGGACGCAAGTGAATACAATCAAACACCCAGTAACCCGAGAATCAGAACACGTTTTAGAAATAACCAATTGAAGGGCGCTTCAAACGACATCATAGTGCAGGTTCAGATGAGTTTTGGTGGAGGTATTTGAAGTTATATCCTCGATTTTTGACTTCGTGAGGAGCAAATAATACCGGGAGGAATTGTGAGTAAACTGAAGAATTTAATCCACAGTACTGGGTTAGGCTTAGACAGATGATATGTTAACCATGTCAGTAAACGGTATAATATAGCTTTAATAGATCATTTGCAAAACTAGAACTTCCAGTAGAAGTTCCGCTGGATTTGTTTTGAGTTCCAGTCCCGGAAGTGCATAAAGAGTTGCCCGATTGACCCGATTCCAGAAATCATTATGAATACGGACTTTTGAGGATGTTTGGACCCACCATTAATTGACTTTCCTGTTTGTGGAATCAGTGCTTTATTTAATTACATACTGGATCCTTATGTATGTTGTAGATTCACTTACCTCGTGATCAATATCTATGCAACCGGGCGAAGACGCTAAACTTGAAAAATGATTACGGGTATGCCGTAAAATACGATACATGGTGAAACCTGCGTACTTGATACTTGTTTACACATATTCAACATATTGACCTTACTTATATTACATCGGTTGTCGAAAAAAGTCGTTCTATGCTAAAATAAACTTCATTTATCAATCTGAACAATATATCGTTCTCTCTGCTCTGATGCAGGTGGTTAATTTGTTTTGGAAAAGTAGCACAACAGATCCTGCTTTATTACTCTGGGGTCAAAAATATATGCCTCATTTTCTTACCTCATCTTGCCCCGAAACCTCACCATCAAACTGATCGTGACCAGTTTGTAATCGTTCTCTGGGGCCGTGTCTACGGAAACTGGATCGAAAACTGCCTTGGCGACTTCCACCACTCACTTCCAGGCTTCGACCTTGCATCTCGTTGCTCATGGTGCTCTGCAGCACGGTTTGTGGTCCAAGTTGTCGAGTCGGACTGGACGGTTCGTTGTTCTCTTTTGAGCTACTCAGACCGAACAGTTCTTTCTTTAGCAAAGGATTCTGCCTTTCCCATTGAAGACCTTTTCGATAGAGAAAGAGGTACATAATATGCGTAAATTGCGTTAAAAGGAATCCCTTATAGTGATGTTAATAATGATGTAATATAATCTAAAATTGTGGGGCCACAAATCCTTTCAGCAGTACCACCTTTTCCCAAAATAACCTACACCTATTTTAAATTGCATAAAACTTAATTGCAACAACAGCCAGACCGATGGATTGATGATCTCGCAAAGTAACTCCTTTCCATGCCTACAAACTATCACTTTCGTGTTGCCCATCCCTAAAATTTAACAGTAATACATATTCCTAAATGGAAATGGGGACGGACCATGAAAAGAAGTACGGAATTAGTTAAAGCACAATGCTTATCAAGATAAATCACTGTTTACATAAATTGGTGAGTAAAGGCTTCTAGTTGTGAGATACTCCCCGGATAGTACATCACCATTTACAAACAAAGCTTCACTGCATTATCGTAATCATGAAGCAATGAATCAATAAGGTCAACTTGACAAAGCATTATTCCATAGAACAAACCTTACCTAATTTCCCAGATTCGTGACTTTCTAACCGCAAAAATGAAGAGGAAAATGAGCTCCCCACGGACACCAAGTTGAATTTATCCTTCATGATCACAATAGTTGCGAACGATCAACTCAAACTTACCTTTCATTAATCACTGGTCTAGCTATGATAATTTGACCATACGATCATCTGGTTAGAGCAAGCTACGTTGATTTTATCGTAGGTCTATAATTCTCAATGCCTATATCCTAGGCACTCTTTGCCATTAGCCATTGCTTTTTGTGGGATATACTAGATAAATCTCTGTTTCAGGATACCTAAAGGTTTTCGGAACTGAATACTTGGTTCCGGGCCGCGGTTTATCGTTCTCAAGTCCGTCGAATGAGGAGGGCGGGGGGGGGGCCGGGGGGAAGAATTTTGGCCTAAATTTTATTTGCAAATTATACTCACCATTCCTTTTCCTCTACTATTCTGCTCAAGAAACCATCAAACTTATACATATGGAGCATCTTAAAAAAAACATGCATTTCGGTCTGTGAATAGTTAGGGCAATCTCTCACTCAATCAAAAGCGAGTTGAAAATTGATAGCAAAAGGGCTTCATGTTTCATCTGGTTATAAGGGGAAAATGTTGTAGACGTTTCATGTTACTATTCACTACCTTAACGGGAATCCAGAGGAGATTTATATTTTTTCAAACTCATTATTTTATTGTTCTTATTTGAAATACTTGGCAACCTGGAGCATCTTATATTCATCTCAAACCAAACAGGAAACTTTTGCAGCCTCATTACATCCAGTGTTGCTGCAGATAAATAGATGAATTTCTGTTGTTTGCCTTTTCTAACACCAAGTAAGACTGTCAATTCCCGGGTTGTATCTTGGACAACCTAAATGTGATTATGGTTCCAAGAAAATACTTTGTGAGCGAGTGATTCTGATTTGAATTTGTTTTGCTAGTTTCTAAGTCTTTTGCATTCAACTACTTAAAGCCAATCAAGTAACCTACACAAGAATGTAATATTTCCCAACAGTTGCAGTAAATGGGCAATGAGGATAGTTGAGTTAAAGTGCGAGTTCGGGGGGAAACAGGGGTAAAGTAGCTGCTTACTCATTTCGGAGATTTCCGATCAGTTGAAAATTTTAGTTGACAGATCAGTTCCTCATTACTTAGAAACAGGAATTATCCGCTGGAAACGATTCCACGTAAAGTCGCACTCGTAATGTCCAGACACACAGTTTCTATAGGTTTTCGGCACAATGAATATCTCTTCCCGTAGCCCTCAACATTCATTATGTATAATTGGATTTCTAGGGAGACCAAGTATATCAGTCGTAAAAATAAAAAATCTGGTGTTTCGCCATCAAATTAGATCATTGATCCCAAACACGTTAATAAGTTCATGCGTGATTAACTATATCCACCTCAATTTCGTGTTCTTTTCGGGAAACGTCTTGATGTGGTTTTTTTCATTCACACAAAAACCGTAACGTTATTTTTATTCATATATGCTTTCGCAATAAAAGATTCTTTCACCTAATCCATTGTTGTATCTACGCAGTTTACATCAGAGGCGGGCGACGTTACAAAGACAGCAGCTAGACTTTAACTTATCAGCGAATATACGATGAAACTGCGTCCAGTTTGAGCCTACTGACATCAGAAAATAATTATTCAATAAGCAATACATCTCAAAGTCAATTTTCTTAGATCAACTTATTTGTTTCTCAGAATGTATTTTTATTTCCCTCAGGCTGAGAGATTTTAAGCTAGAAACTTTACAAAAGTGATCAATTTACTACTCATGAAATTAAAAAATTGTATGCTGTGAAGAAAACGCCTACTGACAAAAATAAACATTGTTGTTAACCAGCAACCGTTGATTGGAAAGAATGATTTTCCGAGCTGCTACGCACGAAATATGTATCAATTCTGAAATGTAGATTTCGAGCTACCGTAATTTTTTGACACGAATCAAGTGGTAGATAAATTTCGGAATATCGTTCATCTATAGCTATTGACATGCACTAATGAAACTGAAATGTATTTCCGAAAAGAGAGTCACAATAAGCAAGTTCCATCAACTATATACATATATATATATGTATTTATTTATTTATATACATACATATATATCTTCTTCAGAAGGGGCAGTAGACGGGTTTGCTGTGAAGCCCATCTGGAAATAGAATAATCACCTCCCTTCGTTGCACAACAATCTAAACATCTGACTCCCGTTTGTCATACACACGCACATTCCTTTCCGTCGGCGTAAATTTTGGCCAGAGCATAAATTGACCTGATTAGGCCCCGAGAAATGTGTTTCCCTGAACAAATCGCACACTGTCTCCAGACTCCCGTGCTCCGACAGCCATGTCCCAGACAGAATATGGCTTCATCCCTCATCAAACAGCTTCTGCCATGTGCTGACCGACAAAAGCATGTTTCAGTTCCCAATTACCTTCTTTTCGTTCTCTCTAGTCCGTGTGGGAGTCATAAATTTAGATTTGGTAATTTAGTCATCGTCTACTAATCCCTAATCACTGTTCTAAACTTTCGTTTGACTTTTTGCTACTGATTTTGCAAAATTCCTTTGAAAGGAGTCATAAAGTTGGCATGCAGAAAATAAAATGATACGTTTGGTAAACAGTCATTCACAGTTAGCCTTAGTCATACTTTTTAAACGTCAAACTATGAATTTCTCCCCGAACGGAGTTTGTTGCCGCAATTCCGTCAGCGGAATATCCCGTTTGTCCCGGACGGCGTTCAGAGATTTCATCTACCCACCAGTTTTCCTTGTATATTCTCTTGTTATAAAAAAACAGATGAGTGATGCTGTTCTGATCCGACAGCAATGAATGATTTTGGCCTAAAGTGGGGAAATTGTTAACCAGGTGGTTGAGCGGAAACGCTTACTCAAATCAAAGCGAATTTGAGCTACGGTCTGAAGGAAATCGCACTTACCGAGTTGCACAAATTCCGGTGAGAACTCTCTGGCCACTGCTCTGGCCTCATCGGATAGCTTTCTAGCCATTCGCGCACGTTCGTCGGCCGTATTAGCAACTGTTCTCGCCGTTTGAGCTCTACACGAATGAAAGTGTTCGAAGTTTTGGAGAGAAAATGTGAAGTAACCCAATAAGGCAATCAGATATTGGAGGCTTATTTGTAAAATAACGTTATGTGTCTATGTGCATACAGTAGATCTACACAAATTCTAACCTTAATTTACGCGTCGTTTCTGAAAAGTATGCTGACGATTGCGGTTTTAAAACATACTTTGTCTACGAATCATCTCGCAGATAATTTCAGCAATGTTTAGCAACAGAACAAACAAATAAACTTTATTATGAGTATCACAAATAAAAAAAATGTCAGGGTGTCATCCAATCAATAGTGGTAACTTAAAACGCATTCTTATGCTATTCCGAAGGAAGGATATCACTCGAATTTAATATAAATAATAACCCACAATGATTGATAATTCAACGGAACAGTCTGACTCCTGATGGGAACAAAAAAGCCTTGCGTGTCTTGCCGTAACAATGATAAACTTCTGGTGCAGGGAAGCTTTGCTCAGTGCAGTTTGGGCAAAATTCAGCTCGGCTGGTCTCATTTCTTGAGCACTAACTAGCTCAAATAGAATAACCATTGGGCATGACGAATCATCCATTCATGAAGTTTAATTGGGAAAGGATACTAACAATTCCTTTTCTTCGGAGATTTTAAACTTCCTAAGTTTTCGCCGTTACGACTTTGTTAATCTTTCAGAGTTTGAACCATTCCTTATTGAGATATTTTAAGCATTTTGATCAAGAACATCTACCACTTTACAGTGAAGCCCAGATACTTAGAATGAACTACAGTGGGTTGGGGTTAGAATACTATTTTTCTATACACTGTTAAACTGTAAACATGTTTTGTTAAAAAGGAATATATTATGCACCGCCTTTGTGCTTCATCTAATTTTGTGATTGATAACCAAAATTGGCACTTTGTTAGCTAAACAAAATGGTGCAATATTTGACGACAAGCACCTTTGTCAACTGTTTCATCGTTGTCAAAACTAGCCATTATTGCACGATACGTGCCCCAGTTAGGACTCAAATGATAAACCTCCCAGATGAGAGCTGAAGCACATGAAAACCGAGATAGGTGATTGTACCATTTGAGAAACAAACAAAAAACCACCCTTTGGAGAACTAAACCTTCCGAGGTGTAAAACTTATATCCAAAAACAAGATACTATGATAGGTACCGGTGTCTTTGACAAGGAATGACGTTATCTTCTTACCATTGGTACCTTACGCTCTCACTGCTATTTATATCTACCTGCAAAATTAATTGACCCCTCAGTTTTGTCAACATCAAAGTTAAGTGGAGGATAAGACGAGAAGATAAAAGCGTTGGTTGACGTAAAGAAGCTAGGCTAAATAATGTTGCTTTTCATGTGAGCAATGGAGGATTTGATTAAATTTCAGATAGGAATTCATCGTGTATATAGCATATGAAGCGTGAACTGAAAAGCTAGGAAGCACTGGACAGCCGTCCCCACCTAGTTGGGTCTCATCAACAGTGCGAATCCATCGACCCAAGTGGGTATCGAACCCGGGATGTCATGGGTAGAACTCAAACGCATTACGCCACCGGACAGCTGATCAGACCGTTTTTCATCTTCCATTTACACAATATAGCACAACCCATCTTTGGGCCACAGACCCTGCTCATCTGAGCAGTAGCCTCCAGGATTATGACTCCGTTGGAAACATTCACAACCTGATTACTTATTTCACGTGAATTAAGATGAGTTGTGCTATATCGTGTAAATGGAAAATGAAAATCGGTCTGATCAGCTGCCCAGTGGTGTGATGGGTAACATGTTTGAGTTCTACCCATGAAGTCCCGGGTTCGATTCCCACTTGCGTCGATGCATTCGCACCGCTGACGAGGCCCAGACCCGACTAGGTGAAAACGGTAGTCTAGTGCGTCATAGCTTTTCAGTTCACAGTTCACGACGAATTCTCATCTGAAATATTGCTTTTATCCATCCGGGTCGGGAAGTATCAAGATGTCTGACTCAAATAACATCAAACTCTTTGGATTTTGCGTATCTGGAACCCTCCGAACGGAGTAGAATTGCTGTCTTGCTGTCTGCACCGTAAAAATAAAGAATGTCTTATTAAGCAGCATAAAATATACACCGGTCTGTCAAAATTTACAAAATAACCCCGTCACTCACCTTTGATATGCATTCTCTGATGAGGTTTCCTTTGCACTTTTGGCCGCATCTTGTGCATTTTTCACGGCTTCTTCAATTGCATCACGCAGTTTGGTATGCCGAAGTAAAAATAGTTTGCTTTTGCGATTCAATACTTGAACAAGCACGTTTTCTTTATAGCGGCCCTCCTCTTTGGTTCCGTCCATAAAGTAGGTCACTCCGTAACCATCTTTCTTGTTGTTGAACCATTCACCAGCATAGCACAAGCCGTCTGACCGTTCTGCCACACCGTAACCGGAACGTTTATCCTCATTCCACTGTCCACTGTAGGTTTCCGTGACATTTGGTCCTAATGGTTCTTCCATGGTCTCGTGTAAACCTTGACCACCATTACCCAATCCTTTCAGATCTCCCCGTCCGAAGGAGTTTGTCGTGAGCTGACTGGAACCGCTCAATGTGGATCTCAGTGAGCCTCCAGCTCGACGACCTCGACTCTGAAATAGAGTACCTCCACCACATCCGGAAGACGAAGAAAAGCCACCCATGGTGTGCCCACCTAGCATTGACAGATCTCCTGTCGATTTCTGCTTCCTCAACTTACGAAAAAGGCCCCGTTTGAAAAGTGACTTTTTCTCCCCACTTGGAGTTGCGCTCCGATATCCGGATGAGCTACTCCGAGAAACATTGGCCTGAGAAGCCGGTGATGGACAGGAGGTCGAGCGTAACACGAATCCGCTGCGCCGTTCATCTGCTCGTCCTCCTCGTTCACCGGTCGAGCGAAAATCCGTGCCAGTTCCACCGGCTGTGCCAGCAACACCGGTTGTGCTGCCACCACCCACACTGCCCGTACCACGCCATCCGCGTTCGGAATCGGTGCCCGATGGAATGCTGTTCTGGGATTGTGCTGCACGCACGGCCCGGTTGAATTCTGATGCCAAAGCATATGGAGCGGAACGTCGTACGCCAAGACCCTGGCGCATACCTTTCGACCAAGCACCGGCATAGACGCCTACGAAAACCAAAAGGAGTAAAAGAAAAAGCAAGATAGCCAATGAAATTGTAATCACGATCTGAAATATTAGCCCTCAGATATCCTTATTTCGACAATTAACCAAAAGTGAGACGGCTTTTCATTACTGCTTCATACGATTGAAGAGTCCTAAATTCTGCATGTGTTGTTGAACACAGACCACTGCGGTTCTAATTCAAAGGGAAACAGCCTGTCAAGGAAAGGATTTTCTGCAACAACTTTACGAAGGATTGGGATCTGATCACGTGGTGAATTTCAGTAAATAAAGAGCCACAAAACTGAGCACTAAACAACCGAGAAGCAATGCACATTTGTTTTGAATTTCTTGAGATTCTTCAGCTGAGCGGCGAATCAACTGGGCATTGCAGAGCAGTGATTTTTCACATGGAATGTAATCACACGACCCAATCAAATAACCTAGAAAGCTGTTCAGACTGTTTTGCTTAACTGCTTTACCTTAAGATTCACCATTTACATATGCCACCTTTATCTTCCAGAATCGCCTTTTAGCGTGTTATCCTTTGAATGCTGTTAAAGTGCCCGTTTCACGACCAGTTGTATCCTGACGAAAATTAGCCCTTGGGAGCTACCACTGGGCTATCTTCAAGACCGAAGTGAACAAATCCTAATGTACGATTTAGTCTGAACAGCGCTTTTGAGTTTCTTAAGGCAGTCAACTATAAATTGATGGGGTAGCAATGAAGTCTCCCCTNCCTGGGTCTACTTTTCGCAGATGTCTTCATGGCTAAGCTCGAGACTAACATTTACCGAACAATCGATCGTCGCTCATCATGCAAGCGGTAGGTGGATGACATTTTGTGTTCTGTGTGAATCTGTCAACACTCCTAAATGTATTTACCTCAGCACATCCAAATATAAAGTTCAATTTAGAGAACGACGGGACGTTTAACTAAGTCATAAATCCGACCGCCTTATCCATCCACAGGAAACCATCGTGGAATATTTAGTCTGTCCACTGCAAAAGCTATGTGCATTGGAACGGAAAAGAAACCTGATTCAGCGCCTAGCAACCATAGAGCGGAGAGTATGTGCTGATGATACCATTGAGATCAAACTGAGGTGTATCCGAGAGGTTTTCTTTCACAATGGATACTCAGAACGATTCGTGGACAATATTTTGAGGCTGCACCAGTTGCCAGATAAGATCATTACCGTTGAGAAGAAACCGGTTTATATATCATTACCTTTCAAGGCTGACACACATGCCGAAATTATGACAAGTAAACTGAGTGCAGCTGTAGAAAAAGCATTCCCCGCAGCAAAACTCCGCATTGTATTCATCTCCAGGACACTTCAGTGTTTTCAAA